ACTGCCACGAAAGGTGTCTCCCAGGAACGTTGGGCATGCCTGTGGATAAAGTGTTAGGGAACTGGGAGAGCTTGAGATTTTATCTATGGAACCAAAGAATTCCCTCCTTTGGGTGGAAGATGGGGTGGTTCCCTGCCAGGGCTCCCTTCTCCCCAGATCTTGATGTGTAATAGCATTTTTTGTCATTTCCCAAGCCCAGCTGTATCCGTAGGTTTTCCCTGTCCATATTCTCTCCCCCTTGCTCAGTTTGTGCCCGAGAGAGGATTCCCAACACAGTTCCCACGCTGCTCCAGCACTGTGCAGTGTCCTCCTGCCTGCCCTGGGCCCGAGCGCTCAGTGCCCTGGGATGCAGGGATGCTCGGGAAGCACAGAGTCAGGATCCATCCTTGGTCCTCGCTGGGCCAGGGCCTGCAGGGTGCAGTGGGGACGGAGCGAGTGCCCAGAGCACCAAGCTCTCCGTGCGGGCAGAGCACCAGCACTGCCCTGGGGAGCAGGTGCCACTGCTGGGGGTGGCAGTGCCATCGTCCCCCCGGCACGGCTCAGTGGTGGGGGGACAGGGAGAGCCGTGGGCAGGTTAGTCGTGCACAGGAGGGATCCTGCTTCTCCTCAGATCCTCCTGGGGTCTAGGTGCTGCTTTTTGGGCTGGGCTGCGGGTGGGGTCTCCCTGGCATCCCACGCCAAGCCCCACTGATGGCTCCCTCTCTCTCCAGGACAGCGTGACTGCCCAGATCTCACACCCCTGCTACCCCATGGGGTACCAGGAGAATGTCACCGTGGCAGAGCTCTACGACAGCCCGTGTGTGCGTGCCCCCAGCACAGCCAGCCCTGCCCAGGTGCTGACGGTGACGGGCACAGGGGACCCAGCCAGGTGCATCACGGCCGTGCAGAAACTCTTCAACTTCAGCTGCGGGGCCCAGAGGCCGTGCGGGTTCAACGGGGTGTACCAGCCCCCCGTGCGGGGACAGTTCTTTGTAAGGAGCCTCTGTCCCTGTGTTTGGAGGGGGAGTTGGGTTTTGGGCCACAACCCCAGGAAAACCTCTGTAGGAAAGTCTGGATGATGCCAGTCCTGGGAGCTGGGATGTCCCTGACACATGGAGACACGCAGGGTGCTCACCCATGTGCCAGGGAGCTCCAGAGCTCTGTGGTCCCAGCTGTAATCCTTGTTGTTGTGGGGAACATTCCCAGCTCCCTCCGAGCCACTCAGCTGCCTTATAGGGACCCTCCTGGAGGGGGCCGAGGAGTGTCAGTGGCTCAGGTGCTTCACCAGCCTGTCACCTTTGGTCTCAAACACCTACAGGCCTTTTCCGGGTTTTATCGCGCCTTTCTCTTGCTGAACCTGACAAGAGGGCAGTCCCTGGCCTCGGTCAATGCCACCATCAGGCAGTTCTGCGCCAGGACCTGGGACAAGGTGAGATCATGCCCAGGAAGTGCCACCCCCTGCCCACATTTCTTCTGGGTGCTGGGCAGCCTGAAAGCTCATCCACAGTCCATCCTCTGCTGGGGACAGCTGTGAGGAGCACAAAGGTCTCTGAACCTGGAGAGAGATGGGAGAGCAGCCTGTAGCCTCCCACGTCCTCCTTGCTCTCCCAGTCTTTGCTCCCAGCTGCACTGAGGGGCTGTTCCCCAGCGTGGGCACACCGAGCACTGCTCCCTGCTGGCAGCCCACCCCTGTTCTCCCACCTCTGCAGGTGCAGAAATTGTTCCCCACAACAAGCAGGACCCACCTCCGTGACGCCTGCGCAGTCAACTCCTACATCCTCACCCTTCTCTTGCAAGGCTACAAATTCAACCAGAAAACATGGCTTAACATCCACTTCATCCGACAGGTAGGAGAGTGCCTGGCAGCCCCCAGCTTCCACACTTTGGGCCATGAAATGGCTCATGCCTACCCTGCTGCTGCCCCTGCCCTGACTGGGGACAAGGGATGCCAGGTCAGCACAGCCCCACTGCCCATACCCAGAGCTACATCAGGCACCTGCTGGTACATCTGGCCTGGCCCCTTATGCTCTCCCCCAGTTTATCTCACTAATGGGGCCTCTGCAGCCCAAAGGTGGGCACAGATACGGTGGCTGTGGAGCAGGACCTGGGGGTACAGCAGCAGAGGTCTTCTCTACATCTCCAGCTTGCCTGGTACTTTACAGCCTTTCACATTCCTCTTCCTCCTCTGTCTGCACAGGTTGCTGATGTAGACGTGGGCTGGACTCTGGGCTACATGCTCAATCTCACCAACATGATTCCCTCGGAGCCTCCTCCAGGAGTCATAGTGCTCCAGAGAAAGAGCTGGATAGCAGTCACAGTTTTACTGGCCATCATGCTCATCCTCACCTTCTGCCTGCTCACAGTCATGTGCCTCCAGAGGAATTCTTCTGGCTATGAGCGTCTCTAGCGCTGGCTCCGGAGGCTGCTGAGGCCACCAAGTTCCACTGCCACACCTGTGCAAGGAGCTGCTGACCAGGGAATCACTCCTGTGTGCCCTGGGGCCATGGATATGTTGTGGGGGGCCCCGAGCCCTGTCCTGGAAAGCTGGAACTGGCACATGCTGTAAGACATCCTCCCCGTAGCTGTGTGCTCTCTGGTTTTCCTTTCCCCGCCTGCTGGTTGGAGATGCTCCGGGAGGGAGGGTATGGCCATGCAGAGCAGGGGCTCAGCACTGTGGCATGGGGACCACAGTGATGTGGGGTGGCTCGAGATTGGGGGTCAGGGAGGAGAGAAGGAGGGTCTGGCAGCAGTGGGGCCATCACAGGGCTGGTTACAGCCCGCAGGAGATACCCCGTGTGGGGCAGACGTGTCCTGCCCCATCCCAGGGCGAGGGTCTGCCTGTGGCCAGTGCCAGCCCGAGGGGCCGTGGCTCTGGGGGGGACACCGGCCTGGACTCTGCCAGGACTGGGAAGCCGTGTGAGGTGGGGGATGGCACAACCTTCTGCTCTCCTGTGCCAGGTTCCTCACCGGTCCAGCTGCACCCTGTGCCCTGTGCCTGGCACACAGCCACACTCATCCTCCCTTTCCAGCACAGGGTGATTTGGGAAGGCTGCTGGGACATGTCAGGGGCAGCTACCAGGGTCCCCCTTACATTTCTGGGGAGTCCCACTGACAGCCAGTGATGAGTGAGGTGACACACCCTCCTCTCAGAAGAAAAAGGCCTGTCCTTGTGCCCTGCTGGTCCTCTCTGAGGTCCAGCAGACACCTCAGTGTCTCCAGGGTTGTCTCCCACAGACTAGAGCAGTGTTGCCTCTCCCCTGAGTTTCCAGCATCATCACCTGCCTTTACCTGGAAGACAGAAGCAATAAAATCATAACAGTTTGGGAGCAAAGGAACAGACATTTTCCCATGTGCTGCCTTTTATGATCTTTATGTGGGTCACAAGAGCTGTGAGGTGTCCGACACTCCACAGGGACACCAAAGGTCAGCGCCTTGCTGTGGGAATGCAAACAACAACATGAGTCATCCACGGGGCAGATAAAAACAAGCAGAACCAAAGGCAGGGGCACAGAATGCTGGTTTAAAGGTAAATCAGCAGGAGAAATGAACCCAACTCAAAAGAGATTATAAGTCAGAATAACAAGTTAATAAAAATAATACAATAAATACAATTATACAGACGAACAATTGGTTTAACCCACAAAACCCAGATGTATAACCCAGCACCCTGGGGCATGAACAGAATGATGTTCATTGGGTCCCCCTGAGTCCAAAGTAAAAGGAGAGGGAAAAACCTGTTGGTGAGAGTGGTGGTCGCAGTCTGGTCGAGAGGGGTGATCTCAGTCTGGTTCAAAGTGGTGCTCGCAGTCCGGTCAAGGTTCTGGTCCTCCTTTGGATCCAACAAATGGTACCAGAAGTCCCAAGACCCCAAGATTATATACCCTCAGGTTCAGGCAGGAATGCCTAGTACCTCCCCCAGGGTGGGGAGTTCCACAATGGGTGAGATATTTTTGGAATCCTTGGTGGCCCAGTAGCAGACATGACCCCTCAGGCTGGGTGTGGAGGTGCTAATGACTCCCTGGAGGGGAGTTAACATCACCCATAACTACAGGCTGAGGGGTCAGGTGTGCTCTGGGCAGCTGCTGCAGATGGTCTATTGTTAACAGTTCCTGGGAAATGGCATGGAGGGTGTAGAATACACAGTTTGTGTAACACCCACACAGTGATGAACTGGTCCCAGCTGTTCTAACTAGGACACAGCCGTGGGCAGGGCCCAGCTGAGCCATGTGCAGGTCAGGACCCACAGCCTGCTGGAGTCTCAGCCTGACACTCACAGAGCCCAGGCCTTCTGCTGGTGGGACAGTGTTGCCTCCACTAAGGCACTCAGGAACATCAATCCCTTTATCCCACACAAAGGAAGATGATGAGATGAGATGGTGAGATATGATGACATGACATGACATGACATGACATGACATGACATGACATCATGACATGACATGACATGACATGACATGACGACGAGATGAGATGGACCCTCTGGAGGGGCACAGACCACGCTTCTGACTTTGGATGCTCAGTTTTCCTTTTCTCTCCAAGACCATCTCCACATAAGCCCAAGTGACAGACCCTGAGCAGATGGGGTCCTTCAGAGCCCTGCATGCCTGCACACCTGGAGACAAGTGCCATGCCTGGCACTCCTGGCAGGGACCGAGGTCATACCCAGAATGGCTCGGAGCACCCCAACACCAGGTGCCTGCAGCCGAGCACCAACAGTCTGACACTGGGGAGCTCTTCCAGAGCCAGGTTGGCTCTCATGGGCCCACATTCCAGGGGGATGGAGCTGTATCTGCAACAGGCAGCAATGTGAGAAGGCATGGCTGAGGCTTCTGTAGGCTGATCCCATCAGGTGTCCACGGGAGCAGAACTCCTCTGGAAAGCTCACATAGTGCCTGTCTGCATGTTGGGGGCCAGTCCCATGAGAGGCCAGACCCCAGTTCTTTGGTGCCAGTCCTGTAGGCAGGAGCACAGGGGCCCCAGCACAATTTATACCTCCTGGGCTCCGAAGCACAGTCGGGCTTCTACATCCACAGGAGCAGCAGCAGGGCAGTGAGCCCCAAGACAAGGGTGAGGATGATGAAGGTGATGGCTGCAGCCCACAGAGAAGGCATGTGCCCCTTCACCCTGGTTGGAGCCTCCGCCGGGATCATGTTGGTGAGGTTCAGCATGTACCCCAGTGTCCAGCCAACGTCAGCACTCCCTGCCTGCCCAGGGAGAGAGGGAACAGTGTTAGCCCTGCAGGAAAGCCACTGATATCACAGGGCCACTATTTCTGCTCAGCCCAAGCAGGGTGCAGTAGCTGCCCCCACACCACTGCCACACCAGGACAGAGACAGGCAGGGTTCTCTGGACCATGGCTCCCCCTGAATCACAACACAGGGGCTGGATCTCCCCCTCACAGGCTGAGAGTGCTGCCCACCTTCATCTGGAAGAAGATGTTTTTCCAGCTGGTCTCATTGAACTTGTAGGCATCGAGGAGGAGTGTGAGGATGTAGTTGGCATTGGCACAGTATTTAGGCAGTCGCTTGGGATCCTCTTTAGGGTAGCTGGAAGATAGCTGGGATGGGGAACATTTGGGGATGAAGGGAAGTTGTCCACAGGCAATTTCTGTGCAGGGACAATGCCCTGACAAGTGCTGCATGAGCGGCGGTGGCTCCACAGTCACCAGCATCCAGAAAAAGACTTCTGGACCAGGCAGTGATTTTGGACCTCTCTACACAGGGCAACTCCTTTGGGGAGGATTTACGTTCCACATGGAAACAGAGAGACATATTGGAGCTCCTCCTGCCTCAGATTCTCCCATCTCTCTGCCCCATGGTGGTGCCACACCTCTGGGTCCTATCCATCCCCATTTTTTGCCCAGAGATGTTGTGGCTGCCCCATCCCTGGAAGTGTTCAAGGCCTGGTTGGATGGGGCTTGGAGCAACCTGGGCTAGTGGAAGGTGTCCCTGCTCATGTCAGAGGGATGGAACAAGATGAGATTGAAGGTCCTTCCAACCAAACCAGTCTGGGATTATACGATTCTATGGTTTGACTTGTCTCCAGAGTGGTGCCAGCAGCCGTCTCTGCCCTCACCATCCTCCCGTGCCACAGATCCACCTCCATCCCCATTCCCACCTCCAGTCCCAGCTCCTGTGCTGCCCTTGCCTGCCCTGGTGCATGAACATCCTTGAGTGGATGCAGGACAGTCCCGGTTCCACACAGCGCAGGGATGGCTCAGCTGTGTAGGGCACAGCTCAGAACTGGGGAGCCTTTCCCTGGATGGGTCCCTGCTCCTCTCCCCCCACCCCAGAACCCCTTTGCTTGTGAAATTCCCCCACAGCCTCCGTCATGGGGAGCTTACATCTTCCCAGCTCCTTGTGCAGAGCTGCTCGATGGCCTCCCTGGCTGTGGCCAGCGGCTGCCCCTCCGTCAGGTTGAGGAACTTGAAGTTGTAGTAAAAGGCAGAGAAGGCCTGAAAGGAAGAGGCAGAAATGCTGGTGAGCTACAGTGGGGAACCCCCAGCATCTGCACCTGTCTCCCCTGGATCAGGAGGTCGGGTTGGTCCTTCAGAGGGTTTGCCCCACCCAGGGTAGTCCCAGGGCAGTGCTGTCCCTGTCCCAGCAGAGGATGGGCTGGGAGGTCAGTGCCTGCTGGTGACAGCAAAGCGACAGCCAGCAAGGCAGAGCCTTGCCTGAAGGCTGCTGGCTAAACTCCTGGGTTTTTACCAAAAACTTGGGTTTTGACAAACACCTATTTTATTAACACATCCTTGGAAGTGTTTGAGGCCAAGTTGGATGGGGTCCTGAGCAACCTGATACAACGGGTTGGGGCGTGGAATGAGACGATCCCTTCCAACCCAAACCGTTTTGAGGCTCTGTGATTATTAACACGGTCCCTTTTGGAGATTTGGCTGAAAAACCAGGCAGTGGCAATCTTTGGCATGTCCAGGGACAGTGTTAACTTGAGAGCTCCTTGCCCCAGTTCACTGCAGGGAGGCGACAGTGCCCTGGGGCAGGCGGGGACACCACAGCGCTCAGGGACATGCCCTGCCCTGGGGCGGGAGGGCGGATCTGCCTTACAATGAACTGCCCTCGGAGCGGGGGCTGGTAGACGCCGTCGAAGGTGCAGTCCCGGCTCTGGCCGCACGCCGAGAAGTTGAACAGCTCCCTGACGGCTGCCAGGCACCCGCTGGCATTGCCCCTGCCCTCCAGGGTCACCGTGCTGTCACCGGCAGGCAGGCGGGCGTCGCTCCGGTCGGTGCAGGGGCTGGCGCGGAAGGCAGACAGACGGACCGTTTCATTGTAGCCCTTTGGGTAGCAGGGGTGACAGACCCGTGTGCTGGGGGCCGATGCCTGGGGACAGCAAAACACAGGCTGCAGCCTCCTCCAGACCCTCCTGGCAGGCAGGCCGGGGCCAGGACTCACCCAGAATCCCCCCAGGGCCACGGGCACCGGCATCTCCCACCTCCTCAGCAGGAAAGATCCTCCTGCTGTCCAATCCTGGTCTTGTTTGGCTGTCTTTGTCCCAGCCTGGGCCCAGCACTAATTCTTACTCTGCTTTGTCTCATCCCCTCTTCCACTGAGGGAGACCTGTTTCAGAGTCCCAGAGTGTGTCTCCCCTGGCCAGCACGATCATTTTCGGGGCATGCAAAGCCCTCTACACCCAGCTCTAGCTCTGGCTCTAGCTCCAGTCCCAGCCAGAGGCAGCACCTGGGACCTTCCTGGCTGTACAGCAGGAGCAAACCCCTCTGGATCACCAAGGCTGCTCTCCTGGCAAAGTGCAGCTCCATGAAGACATGTTTCACCTCTGACCTTCGAAAAAATGATCCAATAAAGGTCTTTAGTTCACTTTTCTCATGTTCTTGCAGTCACAGAGTAGTAGCTGAGTTTCAGGGGGACCTATAGGGTCCCTGTGCCAATCCCCTCCTTAAAGCATGACCAACTAGAGCAGGTCACTCAGAGCCTTGTCCCACCAAGTTCTGAGTAGAGTATTTGAGTATCTCCAAGGATGGCAACTCCACACACTTCTGGGTTCTATTCTGATATATGAACATTCTTATTGGGGTAAACTTTTCTCTTCCATCTGGTTTGAAACTCAGATGTTCCAACTTGTGCCTGTTGCCTCTTGTCCTGGAACTTTGCACCCCTGAGAAGAGCCTGGTCCCACATTTTTGTGCACCCTGTGTACAGCCAGAAGATCTCTCCCGAAGTGCCCTTTTGACTTCCCTCATCCCTGCAAGTGTTCAAGGCCAGGTTGGATGGGACTTGGAATAACCTGGGCTAGTGGAAAGTGTCCCTGCCAATGGCAGGGGGGTTGGAACAAAATGGTCTTTAAGATCCATTCCAGGGATGTGATTCTATGATTCCCGTGCTCCTCTCCACATTTGCCCTGCCATGCTCCAAGGAGCATGTACTTGCTCTCAGTCCTTGCTGATACCTCTCTGAAAGAGCCTTGCCAGGTCTTATTTTATGCATTAACAAGTCTGTGGTTGGCATCATGAGACCAGAGGCCAATTACCCCTCAGTTCCTTCTCACCACAATTAATTCCTTTGCCAGCCGCTTCAGCATCTCGTTCTGCCCGTAGCAGAGGTAGCTGTGGGTGTAGATGTTGTAGTTGTACCCATACAGGGTGAACTTGGAAGCTTCATTCTGGTTTAGCACTGAACCTTCGGGCACAAAGCTGATTTGAGTGGATGCTCCTCCAAGATCCAGTGCCCCAAAAATGTTGGCCACCTCTGGACGGAGCCACGTGTGTGCTTTGGGAGAGAACTGCCAAGGAGAGACAGGAAAGGAAGAGGAGTAGTACATGGCTGGGCTTACTTGCTCTCAGCAGAATTCTCATCCCATTGAACTCAACAGGATTCTGTTGCTAAATTCAATGGGCATTTGGTTATTCCTGTATGTGAGGCCCCACCAGCTCCCTGCCCAGCCAGCCTGGTCCTTTACCAGAGAGATGGAACTGTCTGATGGTCAGGATGTGCCCACATTCTGTGGGCTCACCTGGCTCTGAGTCACCAGTCCCCAGACCAAAGTGCTGGTGGGCACCTGGGGCCCTGCCCTTCCCAAGGACCAGGCTGCAGAGGGCTGGTGCAAGGGGAAGGATGTTCTGTCTCCGACAGCTCGCACAGGAGCCCAACGGTGTCAGCACCGCACTGTGCTGTGGCAGGGCTGGGATAGAGGGTGGCAGGACAGAGTTTTGGTCCAAGCTGCCTTCGGACTGGCACATTGAACCAAAGCTGGTGTCTTTCAGTGCCACAGGGAGATGGAGCTTCCCAGGGCAGTGAGACAAAGCCCAGCAGGAGCAAATGGTCCCCACTGGGCTGTGCAGCCAACCTCGCTGTCCCCGAGAGACCCTCTGTCCACACGGTGTGGGATTGCCCTGAGCTCTTAACAGACACCTCCATTCCTGAGTTCTCCCCCATTCACTGTGGGCAACCAGAGGATAAGTCCCTCCTTCCCCTGGGATATCCCCCAAAGCCTCTAACCCTGACATCTCCTGCGCTAAGCAAGCTTCAGGAAAATCAGAAAAGCTTTATTAGCAGAGGAGTGGGTGTTCGAGCCTTCTCCCACCTCAGTGAAGGAGTCCAGCAGGTAGTTGATGGTGATCCAGCCATAAGCCCCCTCTTCCTCTCCCGTAAGGATTCGGGCCCCTTTGAAATCCACAGGGTACTCTTGCATGGTTTTAGTGACTTCGGCCAGGACTTGATCTGCTACTGAACTGTTCTGTTCCCTAGGAAAGACTTAAAGGTCAAGACACGTACCCAGCTAAAACCAATACTACAGAGGAAATCTCAAAGTTCCACATACTCCCAGCCCTTGCAACAAGCAGTCTTTATGAAAGGAAATTTCCTGCTGCGTGAAGCTGCTCGTAGGGTGTAAATCCCAACTGTCTAGGCTTGGCATCACACATCTAGCAGCAAGAGCAACCTCATCTCTCCAGTGCAACTTGATCCCAGTGACACAGAGGTTTCCCAGGACACCCTTCCCTGCCTAAGTATCATCACAGTGCTGGGGGACAGAGGGAGTTGTGCTGCAAGACCAAGATTTGAATGTCACCCACTGACTGCACCCAAGGCAGGGCTGGTTGCTGAGCTCCAGGGGGTGTTTTGGGAAGGTTCCAGCCTGGTTTCAGACCTCTGAGTGGGGAAGATATCTCAGGGCTCGCTCTCTGAAGCGAGTAACCCTCAGGCTATGGCCCAGCTCCTTCCCAGGGACAGGGTATGACTGCCAAGGCACAGGAATAACGTGGGATATCTGCAGCCATAAAATCAAGAGCCATGAAATGAAGGTTGATATTTGAAGAGAGCTAATACAGGCTGGTGAAAGGTAACAGCAGGTCCTGCATCACCTCATTGCCTCTGACCCCTGCTCCCCCACCAGCACCCATCCACCTGGGCAGGTGGCACATCCCCTGGTGGTATCTCAGCTCCCTTGTGCTCAAGGAATCATGAAGAGCAAACAGAGCTCTGAGAAGCGTTTCTTGCTTGGAACTGGGCATGCAGCACCATCCCAGGATGTGGGCCCCTCTGAGCAGTCTCTCTGTCCCAGAGGCAATGGCTCAGGACAGCTCAGTCACACCCCTGTCCCCACAGGGCTGCCTTCTCCCCTTATCCCCATTCACCCATCCCTTGCTCATGGTAGAGTGGGATCTGGGATCCTGGCCTCACACAGGACACTGTGTCCTGGCAGTGGTTGTTTGCAGCTCTGTCACTGCTGTCACCCTCGTGCCCCACAGCAGTACCTCAGTAGCCTCATGCCAGCTGTTGCTCCGAGATAAGCTGGGACATCCCTCTGTTTCGCAGCAGGAACAACCTTCAGGGCTTTATCCAGGCATTCCCTTAGGGAATCACCGGCTCTAGGGGGATCGTAGGCATAGCTTGATATGCCGGGCCCTGGAAGAGAGTCAGGCTGGGACAGGCTGGTCGGAACAGCTCGGGAAGGGGATGAGGGAGGGCTCAAGGCAGTGAGGTCTGTCACCTCTTAGCAACAGAGGTGCTTTTCCAGGGTCCCCTGGAGACCTGATTGACCCACATTTATTTCCTCTCCTATGTATTCCCAACATCTCCCATGCTTTCAGTGTCCCCAGCTCTATGGGTGACACCTTTCTCAGCCAGGACAGCAAGTGGGGGCATTCCAAGGTAGAGGAATGAAAATTCATTCACCACCCAGGTATTTCAGTCCCACCCAATGTGCGGGTACCAGGCCCAGGGGTCAGGGACACCCTGCCTGCAGCCAGGGCTCCACACCGTGCCTGCAGTGCCAGCCCGATGGACAGAGCTGCCTTAGAGGGAGGGCCAGGTCATCCCACCCACCACTCGAACACACAGGGCAGCACAGAGCCCAGGGCAGGGGGATACTGACCCTGGACATCACAGGACAAGGTCTGGCTGACCACACCAGTGTCGTTCTCCTTGTCTGAATCCCACTCGTAGACAAACAGAGAGGTGTGGGACGAGCCCGCGTCAAACACCATCCCATACTGCAGGGGAAAATCAAGACATCATGGTAGTGGAGGAGCAGCAGCAGCCTGCCCCTGACCCCACCATGGCCCTGCCAGGGTGGTGGGGTCAGAATATGCCCCAAAACCCACCTCTCTGAGGCACAGCTGTGGCAGAGCAGAGCGGTGACCTCAGCCCAGGCATTTCTCACGGCAGCTGAGGGACTTTGTCATTCCCTCTCCTGAGGTCTGTGCAGCAATGCCAGCTCACACAAACATTTCCTTCATTGTTTCCTCATGCTTTTGCATTTTCCTTCATGGTCACATACCTTTTGTGTCTACACTGGCCCCACCTTGGGGCCAGCAATTCACCAACTCCAGTGCTCTCTGCAACCCCACAGCTGCACCCCGCCTGGGCAGGGACTGGCAGGACCATACCAGCTCAGTCCAGGAGCCCCTGCCTGTCCCCCATAAAGCCCTCCACCTCACCCTAAAACCCTGCCATCCCTCTTCCAGCAGCTGGGGTGGGATGCCAAGCTGCAGGGGATGACAGAGGAGAGGCACAATCCTTGTGCCATAGTGTGAGCAGGTCGGGACAGGCTGGTGGGAGCTGGCAGGAACAAAGGGCCTATGGATCTCTATCACCCTGCCCTGGGAGAGCAGAGGGAGCAGGTCAGGGCTCTGCCCTACCTATCTGCCCGAAGGTAATCTCCAAACACAGCCTCTGGTGGCTCGTTCCAGAGGAGGCTTCTCCCTTTGACTTTGAGGTGGCCAGGCTGTGTTTCTTCTGCCTGCACTCTGAGGTGGGAACAAAACATCCACCCTGCTACTGTAAGGCAGTTCCTAGCGGCCCCCCTTCCCCTGGAGATGAGCTGTTGTCTCTGAGCACCTGCCCAAGGTGACAGGTCTCTCCAGTGGTGCTCAGGGACCTTCTTTTGGGCTCACCTTGACCGTGGGTGGCAGTGTCACATCTTCAACCTTCACCAGGCTGAGAACAAGGGCGATGATGGAGAGTGCCACCAGTGTCCCAATGATGGCACTGGTGAAGGGCTTCTTGTTAGCCATCATTCAGGTGAAGGCTCCTGTGAACCCAAACACAGGAGAAAGGACACCTGGGAACATGCTGTCAGTGAGACACACCCCAAAAGGTGACACTGTCTCAAGCTGTGCCACTCAGAAATCCTGGTGGATAGTCAGATCTTTTCCTGGGAAAAGCAATATTAGGGTAAAATAGGAGGAGCAAAGGAGAGAGGGATTGGTTGCCCAGCAGCCTGGGACAGCTGTGACGGGATCACGACAATCTTCCACATCCAGCACCCACTCCTGCTCAGCTCCCTCCTACTGGGAAGGATCAGGTCTGGGAGGAACAAGAGAAACACTGCAAGGAACAGAGGAGAGCATGGGGAAACTGCGAAAACCCTCAGTGGGAGGAGAGGGGAGAGTGGCTGGTTGCATTTTACAAGCTGTCAGTAAGGTCAGCTCACCTGTGGCACTCCTGGCCCCACACCCAGATGTGTGTCTCAGGGCTGGCTCAGAGTCCTTACCGTGGCTCTGTGCTCCTTCGAGGGCAGCAAACCCACTTGGACTTGCCTTTTATATCCTTTGGAAGTGGATACTGTTGGAAAATCTTTCCCCCTTTATTTTCTCCCACAGATCATCAGCCTTAGGCAAAACTCTCTAATATCTGTTCTCCCGTTTGTCTTAGAGTTGTATTCATGGCCCAGCTCAGCATCTTCCTTATCTTCAGCCTGTTAGTCCCTCCTCCTCATTTGAATGGAATCACATGAAGGACACATCTCTCCTTTTAACCCTTGTCCCTCTGCCTCTCTGTGCTGTCACAACCCGCCCCCATTTCTGTTCTCTCTGCTTTCACCAGCCTTAACCTTCCCATTATGAATCTCTGTGAGGTCTGTAAGAGGTGGCAGTGATTTTTCCAGTATCCAATGCCCCGGAATCTCACATAGAGTGGTAGGTGCCTTGATAATAAGTTTTATTAGAATGAGATCACATCAGATGGGGAGGATGACCCTATGAGAGTGGTCTCGGCAATGCTGGCTGGGCTTTGCCAGGGGACACAGGAGAGGCCCAAATGACACTTTCATAGGCCAGCTGGGACTGTGGTCACCCCTTCCCTGTGTGTGACCCAGCCTTGTGCTGCTCCTGGGCTGGGGGTCCCTACAGGCCCCAAGGGGAGCTGAGGGAGTGGGGACATCCCCAGCTCTGTCAGGAGCCTCCCATTGCTCTGGGCAGGTTGGAGGCTCAGCAGGGCAGGCAGGGTGTCCCTTGGGCAGGGTGTCCCATGGGCAGGGTGTCCCATGGGCAGGGTATCCCACAGGCAGGATGTCCCATGGGCAGGGAATCCTGTGGGGAGGGAATCCCACAGGCGGGGAATCCCTCAGGCAGGGAATGCCACCCCAGCCCAGATCCCGCCCTGGGAGCGGAAGGGCTGGGGAGCACAGATCTGCCCTCTCTGGGCCACACAGCCAAGCTGCTTCCTGCTGATTGAGCCCCTGATAAGAGGCTGGCGGGGCTGTCACAAGGGCAATCTCCTGGAAAGACCCAGTTCCAGCTGCCTGGGCTGAGCTGAGTCACACAGGGCAATGCCTGGGGCGAAACTGGGGCTGTGCTGGGGAACCCTCACTGTGTCTGACCTTCCCAACTGTGCCTGACCTTCCCAACTGTGCCTGACCTTCCCAGGCACCTTCCCGGTGCTTTCAGAGGGCTGGCCATGTGCTCTGACAGTGCCACGCTGTGCCATTGGGGTGCAGCAGTCCCGGGGTGCTCCCCGTCCCTCACCGAGCTGGGGGCTGTGCTGGACCCTGCTGTTGGCCAGTCCCAGACCTCCAGGTCAGTCCCTCTTCCTTTTGCCCCAAATCTGGGCTCTTTCACCCTGTGTGCGAGAAGCTGATCCACGCATAGAGTTAGTTTTATTTCATACCTACGCAAAGATGGGTGCTGGGTGGTGACTCCACAAAGCTGGCACACCTTCAGCATGCCAGGTGCCCAGTTTTATACACTCAGGTCAATAGAAACCAGCATTTCCCTCTAGGTCATGACCTAAAGCTGCAGCCATTGGCTTTGCATTCTCTCCTTTCCATTTAAGGATACCTTGCACACTTATTTTACTACTCATGCTCTGTGGGGAAGGGGCTTATGTGAGTAAGGGGTGATCACAGCCTGTGGGCGGGGATTTTACAATGCTAATGAGCACAAAGGTCATACAAAGTTGGTCTTTGACTTTGTCATTTGATTCGTAGTGTCCTCCTGTTCTGTGCTTCTCAGGTCATGGCTCTCAGTTCCTGCAGGTTTGGTTATTCCCTCGTCTTTCATAAGTTCTTTTGTTTGTCCTGTCCTGTACTTTAGTGAATTTTTAACCTTCTCATTGTACTTCATTTCAAGAAATCCCCACTTTGAGACATAGGGATATGTCCACAGTACATTTCCCATAAGTCTCACCCTAGTTTTGGAAAAGCATAGTTGACTCTTACCTGAAAGAACAAAATCAACATATACTCTTTCATTTTGTGATGTGATGGTGCGTCAGTACAGTGTTTACAGGCTCATGGCACTTCGTTTCAACATCCCCATGGCAATCTCCTTTGGGGTGGCTCCTGGACTGGTGGCATGGATGTCTGGAGCCCAGAAGGTGCTACCACTCCTGCATTCCTATCTCCAAACAACACATAACCTTTGGATTCACATGGATTCAGTGGAAGGGGGTGATGAGTGTCCACTACCTTCCCTGCTCTGGAAAAGCCCCGTTGACTGCACAGGGCTGTTCTGAGCATGGGGGTCTCATCTCCACCCAGGACAGAGAGGCACCAAACAGCCCCAGTGCTTGTGTGACATTGCCAGTGCACCCAGAGCTGACCAAACCCTCCAGCTCCAAATCCAAACATGGGATGAACAACTCTTCACTTGACTTTTCCTGATCTTTCTTATAGTAAAGAAACAGACCCAGAGGTTTTGTTGGGGGGCTGTTCCCCCTCTTGCCCATGCTGGCCCCACGTGCAGCCCTGCACCTCTGCCAGATAATGCTGCCGTGGCTGGCCTCTGGCAGGGTGAGGACACCCTGGCTCTGTGATACACCCAGCCCTCAATTTTCTTCAGGTAATCCCACCCAAAGGGTTTTCTCTGCTGAAACACCAACTTTCAGGGTGATGTGGTGTCTGAGCACTGCAGGACCTGGAAGGGCCTGGGTGCCTGGCCCCCAGGGGCACCTGTTCTCACGTGGCTCCCCTTGGGTCCTTGGGGCCCATCAGCCCCAGCCCTGTTTGCCTTCAGGGCTGTGCTCTGCTGAGAGTGAAATGTGATATTTGCTCGTCATTGAAAAAGGGACCAAATGTCTCATTCTGACTTCAGATAGACAAATCTGCTGTGGAGAAGGGTGGCTAGAGTACACACACACCCCTGTTTGATCTGCTTTTGACATGTATTTGTTTGTCTGTGGCCTTTGAAGTGACTCTGAGACTCAGAAGGGAGTTGCCAGGCTGGTGCAGGGACTCAGTGGGGCTCGAGCCCAGCCATCACTGCCAGTCACTGGGATGACTGGTGTTTGTGAAATGAGATCACCCCCATCACTGACATCTTCCTGGTGCCTTCTGAAAGGAAACCACCCTGACTCAGGTCAAAAGGGAGTCTCTCATTTCCCCACCACTCAATTTCTGCACCATGAGGTCACCCCATTCCCGGGGGTGGGAGGTGCAGGCAGTGGCTTAATGCATGTCCCATGTCTGCAAGTGAGCTGCACCACTTGCTTCTGCCCCACATCCCCCTTCCAGACATACCCTTGGTCTTGCTGTGACTTGTCTCAGCAGGGACCAGCTCCAGCCCTACCATCCAGTCTGATTCCAGCAAAACTGGTGGAGTTGGGATCATCCCTTTTGGATGCCCTCACCTGCTGTTCCTGGCTGGCAAATAGCACACCAAACCTTCCCTCCTTCCAGCTGCCTTTTCCAGTGTGCATCCTGATTAAACATGGCCTGACTGTCCTGACTGTGACTGTCCTGGTGCCACCTCCCAGCTGGGGGTGCTCTGGGTCAGGGACCTGTGCCTGGAGCCAGCCCTTGTGCCACCCATGGGGCACCCCAGTCCATTCCCCTTCCCTGTGCGCAGCTACAACACAGCAGGGCCGGGTCTGGGAGTAGGTCCATCCCCCACAGTGCTCAGATGGGACTCAGGCAGGCACAGCACCTGCCTCCTTGTGAGAGCCCCAAAATTAATGATATCAATGACAGTATTTGGACACTGGCAGGGCAGGGTGCCTGGGCAGGGCCCCAGCTCCCTGCTGGGGGGATGTGCTGCCCAGCGCTGCCATGATGGGCTCCACGTCTGCTGGGATACACAGGGATGCTCCAGGAGGTTGAGGCTCTTACTCCCTCACCAGCTGTGTTGCCTGGGGGTGAGAGCATCAAGGTCAGGGTGTCTGGGATCTGGCTCACAAGAGCCCCAGGTGAGGGCTCTCCTCTGGCTCTGGACATCCTGAAGGGTTTTTCTTCCTAAGCACAGGGAAAACAGGATGAAGCACCCTCAGGGCATGATTTGCCTTTCCACTAATGTCACAGTGAATGCTTGGGGACAGCATGGGAGGGAGACTGAGGTGAGCAGTAGCTCTGGAGATGATTGATTGCCTCCAACACAATCAGTGGGGCCCCAAGAAAACAAGGCAGAAGGTGAAAGGACGATGTGATGGAGGTGTCTGTCCCTTAGCAAACACTGGAGAGTATTTGCAGGAGGCCATGAAACCTCTGGATATGAGAGGTCTGCTTTGAACTTCCAAACTGGTCTGGAGAAGGGCAGCTTGGGCCATGGTGGAGGCAGCTGCCCTGCCACGGTGCTGGGTGTGGATAGCAGATGTCCCATATCACCTCACTCCCTGTATCTCATGTCATCAGGCTGTGCCCCTCTCTAACACCTTTCTCCTCAAAGTCTCAGTAAAGCTTCTGGGAAGCTGCTCCAGGGAGTCTCCCTTCCTTCAACCTTTTCTCCTCCTACTCCTCGTGTCCCTGCTGCCCTGGTTGCTCCCCTCTGGGCTTTCAGCACTCGCTCCACACTTCTCACATCTTTCC